AGAATGCCTCAAATGATGAAATGATATTCCTCACTTGGATGCCCCCAAGTTGTTGAAGTCGATCCAGTTCTGGTTACGCATCTTTTGTACGACCCTCTTAAATGCGTAACAGTTCTCATTGTGTGCCCTGGGACTCCGCCGTGATATTCACAATACGCATTCTCGTCATACCATTTGGGGATGGGGGCTTCATGGGTTCTACTGGATATGGTGACACCACATGGGTGTCAGAAGTGATGGTAAAGCTCTTTGTAGGTCATGGGAATAGGGTCGAAATGTTCCCTTTCCCTCCTGGAATCTTGTTTAGAAGTACCTAACGGTACAGCTGCAGTTGATTTTGGGCTGGAGATTGTAACACCTTTGCTGGAGTGTTTGATGTTGTTAACCTCTCCATCCCTCTCCCTCATAGGAGGCTTCTTACTGGCTTCCCCATCCTTAATCTTGCCTTGCTTTATGGCCGACTCAATCATTTCTCCGGCCATAACCAAGTCTGAAAAGCTTCCTGATGTGATCGCCACCAGATACCCGAAGTATGGAGCCTTCAGAGTCTGCACGAAAAGTTTCCGGGTTTCCTTTTCATCTAACGGTGGATGAACTTGCACAGCCAAGTCCCTCCATTTTTGTGCGTACTGCCTGAAACTCTCGTTATGCTTCTTTTCCATGTTTTGTAGCATAACTCGATCTGGCCTATGTCATTGTTATGCTTGTATTGTTCCAGAAATGACTTGGCCAGGTCCTTCCAGGTCTTGATATTTGATCGGCTTAGCTGGTTGTACCACCGAATGGCTGAGCCCGACAGACTATCCTGAAAGCAGTGAATCAAGAGTTGGTCGTTTCCTCCATATCCTGTCATCTTTCGGCAGAACATGGTGATGTGAGCGGATGGACAACTGTTTCCGTCAAACTTCTCGAACTCCGGGGACTTAAATTTCAGGGGAAGAACCAAGTCCGGGACTAGACTAAGTTCCGCTGCATCGATTTCATGGTAGTCACGGTCTCCTTTGACTATATTCATTTGGTCCTCCAATTGTTTGATTTTTTCCTCCATCTTCCTCGCTTTTCCTCTTCGTCCAAATCCGGTACATGGTAATAACCCGGATTGTTCCTAGGGTTAAATACAGAGGACAAGGGCTTTGATTTTGCAGCAGATGAATCCCCTCGAAGTTCTGGTAGGATTTCAGGTGAGATAACCACTTGCGGGGTAGGTTGTATAGTTACCCCTTCCGGTGAACCTGCCCCGGGTGCACTGGTCTGTTGTAGGCCAACTAACTTGGCAATGATCTGATCAACCAAGGACTCTTGGTTCTTTGTGATTGTTTCCAGAATATTTCGACTGTTCTGGTTTATCTTGTCCTCTAACTCCTTCTGTAGTTTTAACATATTCTCCTCGATTTGTGTAATTCTGGCTTCCATCCTCTTCTTCTTCAAACGAGTGTTATGTGGATGGGGTGTGTCCAATACTTGAGGCGGTGTATCCAGTATTTGCTCCCCTTGATGAGACACGTTTATGTTAGTTAATGTGAATGCAGAGAAAATAACAAAATGCAGAGAAAATAAAAAATGCAAAATGTCTAAATATATGATGCATGAAATGTCCGAGGCATTGATCCAAAAAATGTGCCTGTTATTCTGAATAACCCTTATTGGTGACAAAAGTGTTACGTCTGAAGAGACAAAAAACTCTTTTTGATGGTACAAATCCTGTACAGCTTCTGACAAGTTGATTCGTCTTTTTTGCTAGTTGAATATCCTGTCGAACCATTCCGGCTCCTTTGGCTAAAATGTGCAAATAATGAGATGCTTGCCCCAAAAAAGATCTCGAAGGACTGCATCTCCGACTTTCACTTTCTACCGAGCTTGTTTCTAACGAAAGTGTCATTGGAGCCTTCCATCGAGAGAAATTATCCGAAGCTTGCCTCTTGAATTCGTCAGTAATGGCATCCAGCTCAGCTAGTGTTTTACCATCTTGTTCTTGTAGTTTTCGAAAGGATCGACCGGGTCAGTGACCTTTTCCTCGTATTGCCCCTGTAACTTTGCCTTTGAGTATTCTTTGACCACGGTTGGACTTCTGAGTTTTTTGTTTTTATCTCTTTGTATTATAACCCATTCGTCATTAATGCAGATTATTCATGTTTAACAAACACATTTTTGGTGGATCAACACATCGTTTTAAATGATGCAAACGATGAACACAAAATAAAATAGAACAAAAAATAAAAGGGTTAGTGAGGTAAATCAAAACAATAAAAAAAAATGAAAAATCCTACCTCACATGATATCTACCCCTCATGCTTTAATTCCTACCCGGACATGATTTCTATTCCGCATGCTAATTTTAAACAAATCCTAACCGCATATTTGTCTAGTTCGCATGCTTTGAACAAAAAATAAAGCAGGAAACAAAGCATCCTAGGGTTTGGAATGAGGTTTTGGGGTGGGCTCTACTTCCCTGTACTCTCCCGGTTTAGGTTCTAAAAACGGTACTCGAGTTCTCCTTGCCGGTGCCCCCTTGGGCTTACCAGACCCTTAGTCCTAAACCCATCACAGGCTTGTGTGGACTAAGTTAAACTCGAGGGGACACATTCCCTTATGCCCGCACGGTGAATAAATTCACACGAAGACATAAGGTATATGAATCCCGAAGGCTACTTGCTAGGCATATGCGGTGAATAAATTCACACGAATGCGTCGCTTTCACCCCCACTTAAAAGGGTTCGGAGCTCGGGTATAGAGCCTGAGATGAAACTTTTCGAAAATCTGAAATCATTGAAAAAATGTTAGTACAACTATTTACTTGGAAAAATTATCAAAGGTAAATAATTGGAATCGAATAAATAAATTAAAATTAAAATTTACAATCTTCGCATAAAAAGACAACCGAAAATTAATTCTGGCCTGACTCACTTACCGGTCCCCAGCGGAGTCGCCAAGCTGTCGTAACCGTCTTTCGGTTGGGCCCCGGAATTGGGCTTCGACTTGAAAAATTGGGTTGGAGTCGCCACCGATCACTTTAAAAATATTTAGGTGGATCGGACACCATCTTACCTGATATGCGTTGTACCAGAAACGTGTCGGGTTCGGGAGTCGGTTACGGTCAAGGAAGGATTAGCACCCTTGAACCGCCCTTTCGGTACCAATTAATTTATCGGTTGTCTTCATTACGAGAAATTAGAAATTTAAATTAAAATTTAAAAACCCAATTCGAATCACTTACCTTTAATCGATCGAAAATATCCCTAAAAAGTCAAAAAGTGTTAGATAAAGAATAAAAAATAGTAAATAAATCAAAGAAGATAAAAAGGAATTAAAACAAAGAAAGAAAAAAATAAAAATGTTAGAAGTAAGGAATGAAATAAGAAATAAACACATAAAATAAATAGTAATTAAAAAACCGAAAAAAAAGAAAAAAAAAAAGGCTATCAAACAGTGGGACCAAATCTGGAAATCATCAAACATAATATATGAATTAGTGACTGAAATGAAAATATAAAAAAATGAAGGCTTAAATTGAAAAAAAAAGAAAGCTACATTAATGGCTACACGTCAGGATTATAAAATAAGGAGGACCAAAAGGGAGATTATCCCTTTATATTCAGAAAACACGGATGGTAAGGGCGAAAACGACGTAGTTTTAACGCACCCTAAAACGGCGCCGTTTCACTGAACCCATAAAACCCCCAAAATGCATCTAATTCTCCAAATTCCTCCCATTTTCCAGTTTACACTCTCTCTCTCAACAGATATCTCTCTCTCGTCCCTCTCTACATTCCTTCGCTCGGTGAGAAAGCCGGCCCCTGACCGGTAGCCACTCCGCCTTCCGCCGCCGCCTCCGGCTACCACCGGCGGTGGCCGGAAAGTCTAAACAAGCCCAGAACACTCTCCTTGACACCCCGAGCGCCAATCCAAAGTCTAAATCCCACAAATATCCCCAAAACGGCGTAGATCTAAAGTGTAAGCTTCAGTTTTTTACCCTTTAAAACCGGCGTCTCTTGAGTTCCGGCCACTCCTCGGTTATGGCTAGGCTCTTACGTACTCTCGATGAACAAAACCGAGTAACCCTCGATTTTCTGTGATTTTTCTAGTGATTGTTGCTTTGGCTTTTGGTTTCTGTTGTTTTTTGTGTTTGTGGTTTTTGGTTGTCTGATGTGTGTTTGGCTTGCTCCCGATGATACTTGGGTATTATTCTCGTTGTGGGTATTTTGGCTTTAGGCTTGTGGTTCTGTGTAGAATGGTTTTGTGGTCGATGGTTCTCGGTATCTCTCGATGATGCTGTCTTTCTCCTCCCCCCATTTTCTCGGTGTACCCTGTTGGTATTTATATAGCCCCCAACGGGGTTGTTTCCGGCGATGACGGGGTCATTCCCGTACCTTTCGGGCCTAACGTTGTTTCACGTGACCGGGAATCCCGGGATGGTGCAGTCCCGGTTTTCCCGGCCGTTCTTGCTCTCTCTTTGACTGTATAACTTCCCCATGCGCGGCGCCTGTGACTTGATGTCTCTTCAGGGTTTTCCAAACCCTAAACCTGGACGGGTTGGGTCAGGCTCAAATCTGACTGGACCAGACTAGTGGACCCTTTGCTGGATTGATTATTGGACATGAACAATAAAAATAAAATTAATAAAAATAATAATAATACTAAAATAAAAAAAAAAATGACAATTATAATAATAAAAAATATTTTTCAAAAACCTATATAATATATATTTTCAAAAATATTTTAAAATTATATATTATATATATATCTTTTTAAAATGTTTTCAAACTCATAATTTCAAAAATGTTTTGAAATTATATGTTATATGTTTTCAAAAATGATTTCAAAAACTATATAATATATATTTTTTCAAAAATATTTTCAAAAACTATATATTATATATTTTCAAAATATTTTTTAAAAAAAATATATATTATATAGTTTTCAAAATGATTTCAAACTATATAATATATATATATAAATAATAAAAAAGTTGGACGAAAATTAGTGTCTACACATCATAATCTGGGTTTCCTTCCTTTTCCTGGAAAAATCTTTCCTTTTGTTCCATGGGTAAGCCCTTTCAACCCTCTTCTAATCCACCTTTCCCCGTTTAAATTTCAATGGATTGATCCCTTTTTTTGTGAATATTGAAAAAAATTATGGGTTTTGTTCAATTGTAGCTGATTTATCTGTCTCAGTTGATTACCTGTTACTTTCTTTACAATTTTTGTCCTTTTTTGGTAGATGTGTGTGTGTATATATATTTTGTTGCTTTGAGTATTTACTTAGATCTGCCTTGAATTTTCATGTACTAACAGGTAATCATCAAGTGGAAAGAAAAACCAGAGTAAAGAAGGGGTTAGTTGTTTTTATCCCCATAGAATTGGAAGAAGAAAAAAAGATGATAACTGTTATGGATTCTAGGAAAGAAGTGATGAAAGATTCCGAAAAATGCTTAGATCATCGGCTATGGCATGCCTGTGCTGGTGGAATGGTACATATGCCATCAGTGAACTCCAAAGTGTTCTACTTCCCTCAAGGTCATGCTGAGCATGCCAATGGAAGTGTGGATTTCGGGAATCTCCCAATTCCGTCCCTAGTCTTATGTCGAGTTTCCGCTGTTAAGTTCATGGCGGATCTCGAAACCGATGAGGTTTATGCCAAGATCATGTTGGTTCCTTTGAGAGAGAATGATTTTGGGGTTGAGGATGATGCTTTTGATGGGAATGTTGGGGGGGTTGAGAGCCCCGGAAATTCGCCTTCCTTTGCTAAGACGTTGACTCAATCCGGTGCTAACAACGGTGGAGGGTTCTCGGTCCCGCGTTATTGCGCGGAGACTATATTTCCTAGGTTGGATTATAATGCAGAACCTCCTGTTCAGACTATTCTTGCAAAGGATGTCCATGGTGAGGTTTGGAAGTTTAGGCATATATATAGGGGGACGCCTCGCCGGCATCTTTTGACGACGGGGTGGAGTAATTTCGTGAATCACAAGAAGCTTGTGGCTGGTGATTCGATTGTGTTTCTTAGAGCGGATAATGGAGATCTTTGTGTGGGAATTCGTAGGGCGAAGAGAGGACTAGGGAGTGGGCACGAGTATCAATCGGGATGGAATTCGGGGGGTGGAAGCTCTGTTTCACAAATCGGGGGTTACTCTCCGTTCTCGAGGGAGGGGGAGAGTAAATTTATGCGGAAGGACTGTTATGGGGATACGAGGGGAAGAGTAAGGGCTGAATCGGTGATTGAGGCTGCCACTCGTGCTGCAAACGGGCAGTCCTTTGAGTTTGTTTACTATCCAGGGGCAAGCACTCCTGAGTTCTGTGTGAAGGCCTCGTCGGTTAGAGCTGCAATGCAGATCCAGTGGCATCCTGGGATGAGGTTCAAAATGGCTTTTGAAACAGAGGACTCTTCACGGATTAGCTGGTTCATGGGAATGATATCTACCGCTCAGGTTGTCGATCCCATCCGTTGGCCTAACTCTCCTTGGCGTCTTCTGCAGGTATTTTAGTTTTACTCCATCGATTGCCATTGAATAACTAGCATCCATATTTTCTAAGAATTAGTAATCAGCTCATGGATTTGTTCGATTTAACGTCGTCCAGGTAGCATGGGATGAGCCTGATTTACTCCACAATGTGAAGCGAGTTAGCCCGTGGCTGGTTGAATTGGCCACGAACATACCAGCAATCCATCTTAACAGTCCTTTCTCACCACCGAGGAAAAAGATGCAGCTTCCACAGCACCCGGACGTGCCCTTACCTTACCAAATTCCGATGCCATCTTTTTCCAGCAACTCTTTCAGGTCCAGCAGCCCCGTGTGTTGCATTACAGACAACATTCCTGGAGGCATACAGGGAGCCAGGCACGAACCGTTCGGAATGTCTTCATTAGATCTCCGCTCCAACAAGCTGCATCCAGGTCTGTTTCCACCTGGTTTTCATCAATTTGATCGTACTGCTCCACCTACTAGACTCTCGGGTGACAACTTTAGCAGCGACAATCGAAACAATAGGAATATATCTTCCTTGTTAACAATAGGAAATCCAACCCAGAGTTTGAAACGAAACAATGAAACAAAGACACCCCATATCTTATTGTTCGGCCAACTCATTTTCAGTGAGCATCAGGCTTCTCAGAGCTGCTCAGCTGATACTGTCGGAAACAATTCATCGGACGGGAATACAGAGAAAACTGTGGTCTCCTCTGATGGAATTGGATCCGCCTTACATCAAAATGCTCGGGAAAATTCTTCCGATGAAGGGTCTCCTTGGCACAAAGAACATAAAAAAACCGAGCTTGGTTTGGAGGCTGGTCATTGCAAGGTGTTCATGGAATCAGAGAATGTGGGAAGAACCCTCGATCTTTCAGTTCTCGGATCATTCGAAGAGCTGTATGGGAAGCTGGCTAACATGTTCGACATAGAAAGTTCAGAGATGCTGAGCAGCGTGCTCTACCGCGATGCTTCCGGTTCCGTTAAACACACTGGAGATGAGCCCTTCAGGTACACTACAGCTTCCTTAACATCAATTCCTTATCCTTCCTAAACATTTGCTTTCGGTTTATCTGACGTATAATCACTTCTCTCGCAGCGAGTTTTTGAAGTCAGCAAGGAGGCTAAACATTCTTATGGATTCGAGCAGCGACAACTTAGAAAGATAGAGACGAACCGATCCCCGAAAATTGTACAGTTTTTTTCCCAATACTTTGTTTTCGATTCCCATTTCATTTCTTCTCTGGTAGTTGCGAGAAAGCTCCATTGTCAACCATTCCTATGGAACTAAAATCCACATTAACTTGAATTTTCTTTCGACATAAGAAGGATCGATGTCCTTCGTCTTGTTCATTTAAGCAGAGTCCAAGAAACTGTACATTTTACGAAAGAAAAATAGTGCAGGCTGCCATTTTGCTCCTCACAGAGTGTAGTAGGGCTACAAAATGCTTAATAAATTTTCCTAGTTAAGCCTTTGTTTGTCAATTTTATCATCAAGACATTTGCCTGACCTTTTGATACATGTTTGATAAGGTGTTCTTTGAACGTTGCAAGAATCAGACAAAAAGATCCATGACAACCTGTTGTGTTAGGTCATGGGGTCTTGAATTTGTGTCTTTGACACAAAGATCACATCTTGAGATGGAAAAGGAGTTGTTTATTTTATATTAGAACTTTCGAATGTCGACTTTTAACGATGGTCGTATGAACTAATCGAGCGAGACTCCGAAAACTTCGAGTTTAAGGCGCTTTATATATGTTTATTTGATAGGGAGACATTCGTATTTCTTAAGATGAAAGTCGTTGATTGATTAACGGTCAATATGTCGTTTTCAGTGTCATCGGTTTTCGACTCAAATAATTAGATGGACTGATCTGAAAAGATGAGCAAAATACGAGGACTTGATGTGATGCAACAAATGAATGGGATCTTAGAGTATGCCACAGGTCTAGGATCCATTTGGTCACGTGTGTAAAAGTCAACGTCTATAGCATGGGGATCTCCTGTCACGTGAATAGTGCAAACATATAGATAGAGTCAACAAACATATAATCCTTAAAATGATAATATGTTTTTCAAAAGTTTAGGGAGTGGAATAAAATAAAATATATAATTAAAAATAAAATAAAATTTGAAAGTTTGAGTGATTAAATTAGGAGTAATTTGAAAGTTAAATAATTAAATTAAAAAATTTAAAATTCAGTGACCAAAATCGAAATAAGAAGATAGTTGAGTGAAAAATGATGTAATTTACCCATAAAAAATGAGCCACGTTTAAATCATCTCTTAAGTTTTTAATGACGAGATATCAAAATAAAACAAAAATTAAATATTGTGTATGATTTTTTTTTAAAAATAAAAATTTAGGTACTAAAACAGATCAAAAATGATAGTTTAAATACTAAACACGTAATTTACCCATGATTTTTTTTTTGATTTTATCGAGAAGAAAATAATAGAATCATGAATTATGTATACCAATTATGGAGAGAAACTATCATTTTATAAGAATCACTGGGCTATCACCCTCTACGATTGTTGATCATTTTATCAGTCAATAAATAAATGAGAACAAAATATGACTGAAATGAAAATTAGGTAAATTACAAGTTTAGTATCTAAACTATCAATTTTGATCTATTTTAGTAATTAAACTTTTAATTTTTCAAAACCATATATATCGTTTAGTTTTTGTTTTATTTTAGTACATTCCACTGCATTTTTATGTGTAAATTACATCATTTATCACTCAACTATATTCTCACTCTTATTTTGGTTATAAAGTTTAAAAAATTTCAATTTAACTACTCAACTTTCAAATTATTCCTATTTTAATCACTCTAATTTATTTTTAATATTTTTTGTGATATGACATTTATTATTATTATTATTATTTTATTAATATAGTTAAAAATAAAATAAAATTTGAAAGTTAGAGTGATTAAATTAGGAGTAATTTGAAAGTTAAATAATTAAATTAAAAAATTTAAAATTCAGTGACCAAAATCGAAAAAAGAAGATAATTTAGTGAAGAATGATGCAATTTACCCATAAAAAAGGAGCCATAATTTCAAATCACCTCTTAAGTTTTTAACGACGAAGTACTAAAACAAAACAAAAACTAAACGTTGGGTGTGATTTTGAAAAAATTAAAAATTTAGGTACTAAAACGGACCAAAAGTGATGGTTTAGATACTGAACACTTAATTTACCCATGAAAATTTTGATTTTATAGAAGAATAATAGTTGATGTTGAGGCTAGCTGAAGGCTGAAGCCAGTTGAAGGAACAAAGGGCAGTCAAAATTCTTGCCTTACTGGTTTTAATGGGAGTTGAAGAAATGATTTAAATGACACTCAACTATTAGTGAAAATCTGATAAAATTTCAAATTTGATGCATCAATGTCAGGGAAGGTTTGTTCAAGCTGTTTGATGTTCGGTAACCATTTCTGCCACTCGGAAACGACGACGACGAAAGCAGCAAGAGCTTAACATACAGAAAATTGCAAATTTTATGCATCAATGTCAGGGAAGGTTTGTTCAAGATGTTTGATGTTCGGTAACCATTTCTGCCACTCGGAACCGACGACGACGAATGCAGCAAGAGCTTAACATACAGAACCGATTCGAAACATTAACATTACAGACGATAATTACAGTGTAACTACAAATATCTGAACCAAATCTGATGATGTTCAGATTATATACAAACTAATTTCAGATATGCTACATATTTGCATCTTCGATGAGTTCTTCGGTTATCTTGCTGTGTTCGTAAAGGAATTTACGCGGCCGTAGGGGCTTTAAGAAGCTTCATCATGAAGTTGAACCTCACGTCCGGTCTTCGGCTGTGGCCAACTTGCTCCTTCTGGTACCTTGATGCATCTGAAACCTTGGTCTTTGTACAGTTCTATTGCACCGGGTTGTTCAAACCGCAGTGCAACACCCCAAAAGTAGGGGTCAAATTATGAGTTCATGAAATTTATAGACAAATATTTATAGTTGCAGGAATACGGGGACCAAACCCGTAATTAGACCATTTTCCTTTATCAGCAAAATTTAAACCCTTCCCCAAATCGTGAACCCCGATAACTCAAATCCCTAACCCCCAAATTATCAAACCTCGTCGGCCTCCCTGAGCGTCGCCGTCCGGCCAACATTGGAGTGCGCCACTGCCACCAATCAACTCCCCTCCAACCGGCGACTAAAGCCCGAGCATCGTCAAGCAGTGAAACACCTTATATCGCCGTGAATCGACGATTGTTCACGCGATTAAAATCCCAAATTTTGCCGTCGTTTTCTTCAAACTCCGGCCGACATAGTCGACGTTGCCATTCACCGCCCTTCTCATCGAGTTCCTCATGTGTTTCCGATAAGAACCCGACCCATCTCGTCGCCTCATCCTCATCATCGACCAATATAAGGCCTCGAGTTAAGCTCATCTTCTAGGACATGCAATAAATAGTCCGCATCAAACGAAAATATCGAGAATAGAACAACATGATTTGATAATTTATGTCGAAACTTTGGAACATATCCAGCTTCTGGTAACATCGAGCTCGATTGAATTTTTTAACGAGTCGAAACGAACAACCAGATACTCAAATCAAAAAAACTCAAGAGTAATTTGAAAAATAATATTTTAAATTTCTAGATTTTTTTAAAATTAAATTATTAATAATATTAACATTTACATGTTATTTAAAAAAATATAATATAACACTTTTATGTACATAAAATTTAAGTTCATGTTTAACCTTCAATAGAGTTAACTTTGAAAATATTTCGAGGTCAAATTTTTTCGAAATCGAGTCGGGCTTTAATTTCTAATTTCAAGTTGAGATTAAAAATTTTAAACTCACAAGCTTTTTAGTCGAGTCGAACTTGATAATTTTAAAATCATAAATTTTTGAGTTAAATCGAACTCAATTACATTCTTTTCGAGTCGAGACAAACTCAATAATATTCAACCTCAACACGTTTATAGCCCTACTCAACGTTTTCGTTTTAAGAAAGTTGAGGTCTTAAGAAGGTTGAATTAAAATAGAAGAAATAAGAAAATGACTAAAATATAAAAGTATAATATGGATTTTATTAAATAAAAAAAAACTGTACATGGCACGTGTTGGGAGGATGAATTAGGGTGGACGATAATGATAAACGTGTATAAGTCTTATCTTCAATAGTTCAATAAGTAAATATTTAAGCGTATATATTTAACCATTTAAAAGATCAATATCTAAATAATGTGCTATTTTTTAAAAAAATTATATCTAATATTTAGTTTTCATTTCATTTTAATATCAGTCGTTAAATTTAACTTGTTTAATACCTACACTATTAGTTTTGATCCATTTAGTACCTAAACTTTTAGTCTTTTCAAAACTTAACGTTAAATTTTAAACGAGTTACTGAAATGAAACAAAAACCAAAGTTTTTAATTGTGGGTACTAAAATAAAACAAAAAACTAAACTTTATATATGATTTTTAAAAAATTGAAAGTTTAAATACTAAAATAGATCAAAACTAACAATTTAAATACTAAACACATAATTTACCCTTTAATTATTTAAATTTTAAAACATTTTCCCAAGACAAATTATCTTTTTTTATTCATTAAATTATTAGGCTCAATATAAAAATAAGTGTTCAGATTATACTTAAAATTAACTTTTTGGTGTTTAAAGATATTTTTGTTAAAAATTGATGTCTAATATTTTCTCTTTTATATTTTTACGTGTCAATTTTTAAAAAATATTCGTTAAGTGACACTTGTCATGTCTATATTTTATGTTTTTTAAAATAAATTATTTTTAAGAAAATCTAAACTTGACATGTGACAGTTAACGGTTTTTAAACAGTATGTACCTAAAAGTGTAACGATAAAATATTAGACGCTAATTTTTAACGAAAAAATCTTTAAGTACCTAAAATTAACTTTGAATATAATTTAGACACATACTTTTATATTAAGTCAAACATTTATCTTATCAATTAAATTATCTATAAAAATTGAATTTGTTAAATCAACTCAATGATTAAAGGAAATATTATTGAGTTTGAGTTCGTAAATTATTAAAAAAGATTTTGAATAGATAATTCATGAATTGTCTAATCTCGAACCCGATAATTCAAACCCGGTTCATCAACGGGTCATATAAATTCCCAAAATCCCCAAAGAGGCCAGTCACTTTCCAGAGAGGCAGGCGGAGAAACGGTTTAATTTCGGGTCACCACTCACCATCCCCCCTTGAGAGATCCCGGCGGCCGGCGGGACCTCTCTTTCTACCTTTTCCACCTCCATTTTCCGATAACCTTAGAAAACCAAGAGAAAAAACAAAACTACGGTAATATTTCAACCTTCTTCTAGTATCTTCTGGATCTTTCTCTAAAATTTAGTTAGGGTCAGGGTTTTAGTTTCTCTTTTCTTCCTTTTTGAAACTAGAAAGAACTATGTCTGGGATACATCGGTCTTCGAGCGCGCCATTGAAGAACGGTCTTCCTCCTCAAGAGCTCCTTGACGATCTTTGCAGGTTTCAGTTTTCTTTTTGTTTCTGTAGAATTTGGTGTTTAATTCCAACTATTCGTTGTGGTTTTGGTTGATTTTGACTGATTTGGGGTTTATAGAAGAAGTAGCTGAATTCAGTTGCTTAATTGTTAAGTTAGGTTTATTAACACATGAATTTTTATGTTCCTTGTTTGAAAATGTCTGTTTTTGAAGGTGCTTACAGAGAATGGATTTGTTATGCAAACTAAACCTAGTTTTATATTGCACATTTCGGTATCGGGAATTCTTAATTTGAAGTGCTCAAGAATTTTTTAGCAAAATAATGTCTATGGAATTATCTTTACAAATTAGTAGTTGGTAATCAAGGGTCATTCTAACTATATACAAAATCGTTGGTCGGAAAACGATAATTATTTTGTAAAACTACATCGTCTATGGAATGAGTTCCTATTTCTTGAATCATGCAAAAGAGATTAAAAAACTGTGAATATTGTGTGCTTTTGTTCAGAATATAGACTTTGAGTAAGCAAGAGAAGATTGAATCAATATAACTCCTTTTTCCAAGTAGCTGTAGCCTTTATGTGGGGCCAATCAGTTAAGTTTAAGGTTTATGCTCAAGAATCTTTAGATGTTAGATTGACTTTTAGCCTTTTAGGTGTATCATTCGCCCAAGTATAACTCACAAGAATTTTTCCTACTAATTATTCTTTGGCAAGCTGTTTCACCAGTTTTTCACTGGATATGTTCTCAAAACCAGCAAAATGCACTGAGGAATTTGGTTTTGTTTCTAGGAAGTTCATATCTTATGTTTCACTGATATAATCCAATAATTAGCTGATGCTCTGTTTGTACGATGCTGCACTCTCTCTCTCTCACACACATTGCGTTTTTTTATCGCCCCCTCTGATTTTATCTGAAGTTATCGCTTATAATTGTTGTGCAGTCGGTTTGTTTTAAATGTGCCGAAAGAGGACCAACAGTCATTTGAGAGAATTCTCTTCCTTGTGGAGTATGCACACTGGTTCTATGAAGACAATACAGTGGAAAAAAATCCATCGCTTAAGTCACTGAATCTGAAGGAGTTCACCTCTTTATGTATCCTATATCTGATGCATCTTTACTGCTTTGTAATCTTGTTGCTACTTGCTAGCACCAGGGTCCACTACTTAAAAGCATGAGTTCAACATAATATTTTGGTGACCACTACGCAATTAAAAATTTTAATCGGTTAATTATATTGCAGTTATCATAGGTGATGTACTCCCCTAGTTTATATCATGAATTCATGATTACAAACGTCTGAACTATCTCATATAATCTGTACCATTAGAAAAGGGAAAACCATTATTTTATAACAGGGATTGGAGCTTGAGCTTATACTTTTAAGCTCCAAAATGGAAGTTAGAATTTATGCTATTAAGTGTAGCATAAGTCTAGATATCTTTTGACTTGGCATGCTATTTTACTGTTGGAAGACTATCTCTATTGGCCTTTTCTGACTCCTTTTTGTTATTCCATGCTCTGAGCCTGGTCTTTTTTTTTCTGTCAGCAATATTCTCTATTTCCTTTTCCAAAAACCAAAAACTGTTTCCTTAACTTGTTCCAGTGTTCAACAGCTGCGATGTTTTAAGGCCTTACGTTGCTCATATAGATGATATATTCAAAGATTTCACTGATTACAAGGTTCGAGTTCCTGTAACCGGGGCAATTATTTTGGATGAAACTTATGAACGGGTGAGTCTCTTCCTTTTCTAGATAAAAACAAGAAGTCCTTTGACCTATATAGTTTTTATTTTGAGTAAATATCACTTTCTTGTCCCTTGTTAACCAGTTTAACAAGTTGATTTCATGGTGCTCAACTTTAGCCCTTTTAATACGCTTCAGGCATAGGCATTCATGTCTGTGCTAAAAAACAGAACTTTCCTGTTCTCTCTCTCTCTCTCTCTCTCTCTATTCCTTTTAGTCTTTCCAAAAATTTCTGATCTTCTGATATGTTTATCAGAGATTTTTCTTTTAGTGCATGCGCATCAGTTTTTTCATCCAATTTTGTTTTCTAATTGATGGAACTCAAGGAAAGCTATTTTTTGCAATTAAAGTCATGTTGTGTAACATTTTCTAGTATTATCATGTTTTTTGGTGTTAATTGGTAAACTTTCATTCTAAGATTGTCTTTACTAAGTTTGTTTCCGCATTTAATAGTGCATCCTAGTCAAGGGATGGAAAGGGACAAGCTGGAGTTTCCCACGTGGAAAGAAGAACAAAGACGAGGAGGACCATGCATGTGCCATTCGAGAAGTAAGCTTATTTCACATGGATTAGGTTTTATTATTATTATTAACTAATTTTTTGTGAAGGGCTGGAAATGGATTCCTAAGGAATCACATTGAAAATTTTTGTTGATGGTTTAACCTTCTGCACACATGATAGATCTATCCTGTGTTGTATGAGCTTTTCAGACTCAGCGAGTAGTAAATTAGTAACTAGACTCTACTAGCTGATGCAGATGGCTATAGATTCAACAATTACGTAAGAATGATCTTACTATCTAGTTGTACAGATGGTTATAGATTCAATGGTTACTTCAGAATGATCTTGCTTTCTAGTTGTAAATGATACGGCTGAGGAAGAAATGTGGAATGTACTTTTTTTTTATTAACTAGCTTTCTTGTCTGTTCATTCACCTCTCAATAGTAAAAGCTACAGTTGAGTTGACAATCTCCCTATTAAACCTGTTATTAAACTTTCTTTGGGATGGAGCTAATGGATATGTAAATTATTACCTGTAATCTGTTCATTGCATGTTTCCCTTTTTGTTTAGAGAACTAACAGAGCTGATGTTGTACTAAAAAGATGCATTCAGTTTTTGGTGATAAGGGAATCCAAATAACTATTGAATTGTTATTGAATTCTTTTACCTCTCTTTTGTTTCTTCATCTATGCTTGTTGATGTACTTTCAATGAAAATACAGGTCTTAGAAGAAACAGGCTTTGATGTTTCAGCTCTCCTGAACAAAGATGAATACATTGAAGTGATATTTGGCCAGCAGAGGGTGCGGCTCTATATAGTTGCTGGTGTAAAGGATGATACAGCCTTTGCCCCACTTACAAAAAAGGAGATCAGTGTATGTTTTTCTTTTTTATTGATAAGTGCCATTACTTGGACCAAAATATTTTTGGATTAATGCCCGGATAGAAGTAAAATTAAGAAAATTAAGACCTGTAGAGAACTTTCTTTGCAAATAACGGAGAGGCTATCTAAGATATTGTATCTTTTAAATAGTAAAAATGCTGACAGCCAGCTTTGGTATGGTTGCAGGAAATTGCTTGGCACCGGCTTGATGATCTTCAACCAGCAACTAATGAAGTAATATCTCGTGGGATCACTGGCCTAAAGCTTTATATGGTTGCCCCCTTCTTAGCGTGAGTATTTTGTTATTAGATTATGATTAATTTTCAAATGCTTTTTACATTGTTGGGTAAATTGCTCATATGTGATGTCTTTATGCAGATCTCTGAAGTCATGGATTTCAAAGAATCCTTCCCCACTACATCCAAGACCAGATTTGCCTCTAAAAGGTTTTTCCCTTTCCCTTTATTTTTCGGTTTGCGTTTGAGGTACTTAGCTGTATCATTATTAACAACTACTTTGATTTACATTCTGCATTAGCTTAATCTACTTTTGGAGTTTGATCAGATAAAGATTTGAAAGCCTTATCTTAATCATATTAGTTTGATTGATTGATTTTAGCACAGTTATTATGTTCCCTAAAGATTTGGAGTACCAGGTAGGGATGGGCATGGGACCCGAACCCAACGGGTTCCGACCCGATCGGGTCGGGTTTTTTTTAAAAAAATCGGGTTTGGGTCGGGTCGGATTCGGGTTTAGGGTGAAAAATACATGACTCCGAAAAAATATAATTTTACCTTATATATTTAAGAATAATTACAATAATACCTCTCTATATATTATTTTTTTTCAATTAAATCACTGTTTTTATTGAATAAAAAATAATATTTTTATTATTGTTTCGGGTCGGGTCGGGTGGAAGGTATATATTATGCGGGTCGGGTCAGATTTCAGGTGGAGGAGTCATTGTTCTCGGGTCGGGTCGGGTGGACCTAAAACCCGACCCATGCCCATCCCTAATACCAGGGGTGTCTAAAATACAACTTGTTAATACAAGGCTAAAAAATGGTATAAATCGGTTGCAATCGAAAATTTTACTAATATCGTAACTTTTTAAGTTGGACAAGGTAACATTTGAGGTTGAAACCAAAAATATTACATTCTTACTAATATTTTAGGTTGAACATGATAATATTTTAGGTTGAAAACTGCCTTAAATTAGGCTGCCGCACTGCAAAACTACATAAACTACATGTACCATGGAGATGTTCTAGTGTGTGTTTTTCTGATGCGTTGTTTTTCGAATTGTTAAGGAATCTCTATTTGGAAAGCGAAGAACACTTCCATAGGAAGTAACTCAATGATTGTGGAGAGAAAATCTAATAAGCTTCCATCCGATGCTAAGCCGCCTGACGCCGGTCCTGGAAAAAGCTTCAGAAACTTTAGATTCGATACCGCTGCAATATTAAAAGCATTGGAAGGAAGCTTTTCTTCCTGAAGATCAGACTCAGTTGTTATCCGTGACATCCTTTAATGTTGGCACAGCAGAGACTTTTCGGTTGCTAGAACTTCTTCGGTCGTAAAAAAAAACATACAGCGTCGTGGCCCCGATCGGTTGGATATTCATGTGTCATGTCCGGGTTCGTTCGACATGTAAATTCTGTACAGAAAAAGAATGTTTGGTGGCAACTTATGCTGGTCTGCAAGTCCAAACCTGGTGAATGGTGAAATATTAATACTATAGAACCCCTTTAGTATGGCTAACAGCTCCATCACTAAATGCTACACACTTTGTCGATTCTTGTTATCTTAATGTTGTATTTGATCTGCTTTGTAGTACTTTTTACGATCCCAATATTATTCTTTTATCTATTGGTTCATAGACTAAACTTTTAAAGCCTTAATCAAAAAATAAATAAATGCTCATTGTCTTAGTAATAGGTTTTGAAAGTTCTTTTTAATTTGGGTAAATTACACATTTAATATCTAAACTATCAATTTTGGTCTGTTTTAGTATTTAATTTTTCCCCAAAATAATGTCTAATGTTTAGTTTGTGTTTTATTTTAGTATCCCGTTAAAACCTTAAATTGTTTTTTGCTTAAACTATCAATTTGGGTATGTTTTAGTACTAAAATAAAATATAAACTAAATTTAAGTACGGTTTTGAAAAATTAAAAGTTTAGATATTAAATCGAATCAAAATTTATAATTTAGGTAAGCTTATGAGCAATAAAGCTAGTGAAAGAAAGTTAGAGTCCAACTAGAATAACTTAAATTTTTTAGTAATGAGTAGATTGATTTTTAAGTTGAATCGAGTCATTTGACTCTGTATGATATATACATATCACATATGAAAAAAATGAAAGAAATATATATGTATTGTATATGGTTATAAAAATCATTTAAAATGGAATCAAATATTATCATAATATTATAAATATTTATAATTAAATTTTAACAGAAACTAAAAAACTCAACTCGAGTCAAACGACTCAAATTTTGTAAATTCGACTCAACTCGACAAAATTTCAAATCAAGTTTAAGTTATAAAATAGGACTCATAACTCGGAATTTTTTTACTCAACTTTATCGAATGCTCACCCCTACTTATGTCTTTGACATATTTTAAAATCTTATATTTTTTATTATTATTTATTTTAATTTTGACTTTATTTTTTACTTATTATTCCATAGAAATGATATACTTAATGCATATTTGATGTTATCGCTTATATTTTTTAAAATAAACAAATAAAATTATGTATAGAACTTAAAACCGTTAAAAAGATACAACCTCTGTTAAAATTAAGTTCTAGCTCCATCCCTAGTTGACACATCTCATCTCCTTTAGGTTGTCAGTCCAATATCTATTAGGATCAAAATTTATCTTCCCCTCTCTTACGTAAAAATTGTTAAAAAAATTCATCAAGTTATCTCAACGGATAAAGAGAATATTGTTATTATTAAAGTTTTGCTCGAATACAAAATGACACAATTTAACTGGAAAAGTAATAAACTTGATTTGATTAAAAATAGAGAACTTTATTAAAGTAGCTTTTTACTTTATTTACTTTTTATAAATAGATACTAAAGGTTAGGGTTAAAGATCGAGTTGTCCATATAGACTCCTTTTGTATTATTCTTCTCTTTCACATTAGTGAATTTTCTCCTCTTCTACCCGTGATTTTTCTCGAAAGGGATTTTCACGTAAAATTTTGATGTTTATTTTATTTGATGATCATTACGCATGCCGTTATCTTCTAACAGTCTTCCTTAAAGATTATGAGTTAAAACAACTACATCTACCTAGTATATGTGTAAAATATATTTTAAAATCCATTATCCTAAATTTTAAAGTCTAAATAAGATGCATGACAAAAGTAGAATCTAATTTGTAAAATATATTTTACCGCCAATATATAAAATAATGATCTTTAAAATACAATGATATTTTATGAATAAATTTTTGGATAAATTATCTATTTGGTACTCAACTATTCATATATTTGAATTTTATTCATCTAACTATTTTTTAAAATCACATCTTATGTTAGTTTATATTTTGGTATCTCGTTGTTAAGTTTGATCGCTGACTTAACATAAATGATATCATAATATGAAATAATAATACTTTTAGTCTCAAAACATACATGTTTTCCCTAATTCAAAATATTTTGATAAATCCTCAAATTTTAAAATTATTATTCAATTATTAGAATTTTAGATTATTATTATTATTCAAATGAAAATAAAGACCAAATTAATAGGATTTTTTAATATTGAAGCTTTATTAAATTATTTTAAATAATATCCAATTTAATAGGATGTGTAAATTTTGAGGACTAAAATTTATAATATTATCATTTGTTTGTCAAGCAGTCAAAATTAACAACAAGGTATCAAAATAGAAATAAAATATAATGCTAGGTACATGGAAGATCTAGGTGAGCTCAGTCGCCCCCTTGAAATTTTAAAACTACCATATATTTTAGAATTTTTCTATGTAATTTCATTCAAAATTTATTTTCGCCTCTAGAATTCTATAAATTCGAGTTTGCCTATTTTGAAATTTTACAAGTTCAAATTCATCCCAAATATAAAATCACGTGTATATCCCGGAGTAATAGGTTATTTCTCTTAAAACATCCTAATATATATAAGGAAGAATTAAAATTCTAATCAAACAATTCAAAAACAATAGGTACAATCAAACATTATACTATCAACGGTTTAGACCTCAACGTTTCATTTTAGATGAAAAACCCTTATTTTGGAACGTTAATCGTGTGTTAACTAATAATTTTCATCGATTTTTTTTATTTAAAATAAAACATTAAGGGCTAACTAATAATAATAAGAGAAAATAACCTCAGTGACCAAAAATCCCATATAATATACGATTTTAACCAACTTTTTCCGGATTTACCAAAATGACCAACAAAATCGCAATGCGATCGCTAATTCGTAACGCGATCTCCATTATCGCAAATTCGCGTTGCATTTTCGCAATGCGATAGTTGAAAATCGCGTTGCGATGGTCTACAGTATCGTTGCGATTTTCCCAATTCGCAATGCGAATAAGTAAATCGCAACGCGAATTGGGAAAATCGCAATGCGAATAAGTAAATCGCAACGCGAATTGGGAAAATCGCAATGCGATACTGACTATCGCAATGCGATAATAAAAAATCGCAACGAGATACTTACTTTCGCAACGCGATACTGACTTTCGCAACGCGATAATACATAATCGCAATGCGATTTTCAAAGCGCCATTAGTATCCTGGCCAAGTATTTTATTTTTAAATTCCAAACATGAATATTAATATATTGGAACACTGAACTGTCCACAGTATATCCCGTAATCGCAACTCATAACCTAAAACCTAAAATCACAACTCAGTCCCATCTCCATCTCTCACTCTCTCACCCATCTCCGATGAAATCCGTCCCCATCTCCGGCGAAATCCGTCTATCTAAATCTCTCAGAGCCACCCTCACAATCAGAAATGGAAAATCAACCAAATCAACCAACGAGGGTTAGTTTTTTTAATTATTTTCTTTTTGAAATTTTTGCATTATTATTAGGTTTTTCATATTGAAATTGATGATAAGTTTACTTGTAATTTCAATAATAGATTAACCATTTCACTTAGATTGCTTATTAAATCAACCAAGAATCGCAACACGAAATGCAAATCGCAACGCGATTTTAGTTTCGCGTTGTGATTCTCTCGTTGCGATAGTCATTTTCGTGTTGCGATTTTCATTTTCAGAAACTATTCTTCTTCTGCAAATTGAAACTTGAATGAATTGCATTACTTCAACCAAAAACAAAGACAAATACAAAATTCACAGTGTTGCATATTTAAGTTTGAAGAATAAACTACTACTATTTATGTTTATTATTGTTTTTGGTATATCTTCACAGTGTAGTTTTTGGTATATCTAATTTAGTATGTTTATTGTTTTTGTAGAACTTTTATTCGGCTCAATTGACCTTGAGAAATAAAGTCAGCCTGGCCAAAACAATTGCGTCGAAGCTTTCACCTGCACAAAGAAAAATGTTTGAGGATACATGCTTCGGGCCATGGCTGAAAGTACAACATCCCGGTGGAGATGCGATGTTGACACACCTGTTTCTTCAAACCATGACTAGAGATCTACCAGAGACTATACAACGTCGTGATGAAGAGATATGGTTTGATTTTCCACCGGCGTATACGTGTTTTGGGCGGGAGGAGTTTTGCTTAATCACCGGTCTACGCTTCGGACACGATGATGTAGGTCGGTACACTAGACACATTACCCGCCCATCATGGCTATCCTGGGTTTTTCCTGAGCTGGAGAGGCCGAGTCTACACGTAGAAGACCTGACAAGATTTTTGAATAATAAAGATGGTTTTACTCGGATGGATGACGTCGACGTTGTCCGAGTATGCCTTCTAATTCTTTTGCATGCCGACTTTTTAGGCAGAGAGGCCAGACAACCTATTCCAAATGATCTAATCAAATTGGTAGAAGACCTAAATGCGTGGAACCTGTTTCCGTGGGGCTCGTATTTATGGAAAGCTACATGGAATAAGTTATCGTCTGCCTTGGATGATCGAAAAAGTTTGCATGGCGATGGTTCCAAATACACTTTGACATGCTTTATTTGGGCCTTTAAGGTAAGAATTTTTATATAATGTTTCCAAAATTATAAGTAATTATTTAACAATTACTAATGTTTGTTATTATATTGTTTGTAGATTTGGATATTTGAGGCCTTTCCCGCCATGAAGACATATGCAATAAAAACTTCAAATAATATTCCCAGGGCTATTTCCTGGAAGAGGAAACGAACCTTGCAATGGGAAGATTTACTACGGTATACGACAATAAATAATGTAAGTTAACATAAATACTACCATATGTTTATAAACAAGTTATTACTAGTACACATTTAACTTTGTTTGAGCTTTTATATTTTTAGGAGGCCAACACTCCTCTACAGAGGCTGACACCCACGGAAGCTGAGCTTGCCACTGATTGGTGGCAAGCTAGTAAGCGTTTTTTTGATGGAACGGTTGATGAGCAGCCTCCACTTCGGGAGCCATCACCTCGGCCAGAGCTATCACCTCACCCAGAGCCATCATCTGATCGACCCGGCTATACACCTCCACAACGACAGCCATCACCTATTCTGTCACATCATCGAGCCTCTTCTCCACCATCACCGCAAGATAGGCGACCGGCAAAGATGCCACGACGTTTATCTCCCTGTTCTCCACCTCCTCCTCAACGGGATGAGTTAGGGGAGTTACGTGATGAGGTCAATGCCTTGCGTGAGGAGGTCGGTACT